AAACGTCCTCCATAAAACACGAAATATATAACGGGATCGGTAGTAACTTTAACCAACAAATAAATTGTCACATTATAATTTTTAGTTTTATTTTATTTATGTGAAAATAATCCATAATAGCAAGTAACAAGAAGACAGTCACAAAAAAAGTAAATAAATAAATAAATACTGCATAACAACATGCAGCTGCCACAAATATACGCTGGACTTTCAAACAATACGACAAAATATACCTTAGATATATCTTTTCGATAGAATCACAAGTATCAAATGGACAATAAAAAGAAAATTGAAAAGAAAATTGAAAAGCAATAGGCGTTAAAAAGCAATGAATGAAATACAATATTGACAACAATAGTTAGGTGAAATACACTATTAATGTCGTGGTTAGCAGTTGACGAGTTGTAACTGGACAAAATAATTAGTATCTACCTACACGATTTATATTCAGAAGAAAAGTAGTTTTTAATAGTTTCATTTACATTTTTGACTAATATTTATGCAAAAATTGAAAAAAAATGTTCACATAGTCAAAAAGCTTACATGAACACAGCGTAACACAGAGTAACCTGTATTAGCAACTTTAACTATACCTAACGGTAAATTTAGGACTAATTCGAAGTGTCGCCTAACGCCTTCGATAAAAAAAAGAATAAAACAATAAACCACAAGCATTATTTGTTCGTATTATAAGTTTCATAGGCCATCGATTTGTGTGTGACTATGGAAATCGTATAAGACGCTGCTATGAAATAATATCGAGGCATAGAAAATGCGCTTCCGTCTCTTCACTAGTCAAAAGAAAATCGATTCTTCTATTATTAACCTAACCACCACAAATAGTTAAATATAATGATATTATGTGTGAGATGAAAATCAAAAGAGAAGAATATTCCCCGTGAGTAGGTGCCTCTATTAGGCATATAGGTAATTTGATGCAAAACGCCTCGTTCAACATCTGCAATATTATTCGACTATAACTCGTCAAATATTCTTTTCAATCACTTTATGGTACTGAAAATATAACTCTACATTGTATAGACACAAAATTTAGTAAAAATATAACAACACCAAAATATAATTAATGATGATATTATAAAAAAATATCGTTTTAGTTAAATACCAATACCTACTTATCTATGTCAATTATCAGTCGGATATTATAGTTATTATTATACAACTAATAAATAGATAGGTACCAAGTGCAACCAATGTTTTGTATATGTGCATGATAATAATAATTTTATATATTGATATAAATGTTTATGATGATTTCAGACATATAGAATTTTAAATAATGAGATAAACTCTTAAGCGAAAATTACTGATTAAAATTCAAATATACAGTAGGTACCATTTTTACCAATAATAATAAAAATAATAAATAATTGATTGCCAATTAACATATATATGTCTAATTTACTTATTTGCATAAGGGAAATATTATGATTTAGTCCCAAGATAATATAAACAAATCGAATTTATGATTACTGATTAATAGTAACGAGTTCACTGCGACTATACCGACGTATAACAAGTGTATGTAGTATGGAATACATTTCCAAAACGTCTTCGTACAAATTCACCAAAATTAATTAGGTATAATTAAACTGAAAAAAAGATTTTCATAAAAGTGTCGACGACAACATGTAACAATTATATAAGCTGTTAAAGATGATTTTGATTTGAAAAATGTCAAGGTTACCTACATACCTACAAGTGTAAAAACCTAAACAGAAGAATGACCCAAAATTCATCGAGTAAAGGATATTATATCATTTTAGACAATAAATTAACCGATTGTTTTAATGAATTTATTTTTAATTTTATTGTTTATTACACATACTTAGAATCTTCAACATAGAATCGAATAAAATAATGCACGTACAAAAAGAAAAGCAATTATAAACTTTGGGTCAAAATCAGATAAACCTAAACTAGGTATAAGTTAAACTTTACACAGTTAATAATAATCTATCAATATTTATAATTTATAAAATGATTGAAATGTCATAAAAAATAATAGTCGCAATATTACATGTAGTTTTTATTTTTGTAAAACTGTTTTTAAAGACTATTATCCTTAGTATAAACAAATAACTGAGAAACTGTTCATTCGAATTTTGAATTAGATAGGTACAACGATATTTTAAAAGTAATAATCTATTGTAAAAAAGAAATATATTCACTTGAAAAACAAATTCATATTGCTACGCAAGGCACTCTTAGTAGTACCTACAAAAAAATCAAGACAAAAAAATATGGTCTTTTAGTATATATATATTTAAAATTTTAATAAATTCATTATTAAATTTTAAAATAGATGGGGGTGACATGCTTGGTAAGTATCCATATCTACAGTCGGCTCACTAATAATGAAGTTAAAATATAACGAATGAAACTGTTATTCTCTTGACAGTCTCATAATTTAATGAAAATTCGAAAGAATTGTAGTACCTTCGATGTAACGAATTTTTTTTGGTCAAAGCTCTCGTAATTTAACGCATTTTGACAGTTCTGTAGTTTGATATTATATGAAGTTTTTCTAATGATTATCAATAGATCAAGTGCTGTAGTACATTATCACAATCAATAGATAGTATACACGTCGTTAATTAGTATATAACAGTACTACGAAAAACGATTCATCGGTATCTGTGACTACTAAAAAGTAAAACTTCAAGACTTATTATGTGATTACAAACCAAAAGTGTGTTCAACACTGACGAAACGGAATTGTTTTTTTTAAATATTTGATGATCTCCTAATCAAAACAGTTCACGACTCGGTCATCAATTTCTACAAAAGGTTCTATAGGAAACTTCTCAAAAACCACCAAAACCTCCCTCATCTCGCAACTGACATCAAAGACATTTTGAGACAACCCCACAAGACGCCTCAAACGCAACTGCAGGTGTAGAGATCTTCACAACTTTTAAGATATTCTTATATTATTCATAAATGTACCATAAATCATTGTAAAAGGTGACTCGATTGCGAGTCATCCTTCAAATTTTTCAAAGTTGAAAGTATTATATTTTATATATTATTGTACATAGTATAAATATTGTAAATTCTCAATAAATGCCATTTTTTTTTCTAAAAAAAAAAAAATATATAAATAAAAAATATTTACGCTAAAAAATGAAAAAATAGCGTGGAAGAAAAAAAGCAAGTCACATTATACTTTACAGACAACTCTGTGTACAAACAAAAATTATAGATTTCTTTAGAAACTAAGTTTTACTGATCCATATTTACATATTTCTTGCACATGATTTTACATTATATTCGTATAATTAAACGAAAAGGAATATCACTCAGTAACGTATTGATTTAAATTTTTCATTTAATCTTGTTGTCACGAATTTTGTTGTTTAAGTTCTTGCCATAAAAATAACAATCTAACGAACTTTTTTCCAGTCCCTTAAAATTCGTTATATCGCAAGTTTGCTGTATTACAATAATAAAAATAACACTAACCAGAAGCGTAAAGTAAATAATACAATATACCTATTATAACTACGATAATATTAAATTGTAACAATAATATTGAAACCTATTCTACGTATGAATATCACAATAATTTATTATAAATATTAACTTTAATCGTCGCATATATAATATTCAAACAACACGTGCAGTTTTAACTAGTACACGACTAATCGTCACATTTAATATCGTGTTATATAAATTGAAACACTGGTTCTTGTTCAGTATACGATATATATTTCGCACATTTGATAGTCTAATATGGGGTATGCCATCTATCAAAATATAGATATATCTTAGATATTTATAGAATCTATTAAATACATAGTCTATTAGGTCTACTTTTAAATGTACGATTGATTAATTGGACGTTATACAAGTGCATACGTTGAGTATATTTTACGACAAAAATTAGAATGTATTTTTAATTCACACATAATTACGTGATTAATTAACCCACAATAATTGGCAGCGAAACTCAAACGACAGAAGCGTTCTGGAGATACGTCAAAACTAATAATCAGGTAATATAATATATCACTAAAAACAAATAATAACTAACTAGGCATATAACAATATCAATATCAGAATAATTTCATCACCAGAAAGAATAATAAGCATTTTAACACAGCGTTCTGTTTGACAGTCAACAAAAAAATTTGTTCGAAACGCTTCTCAGAAATAACAAGAAATACATGTAGTAATATATAACCTAGGTATCTCCTATATTGCATCCAGGGCGGCAGACTTAGCCGGTCCGCAAAAAAACATGAGGAGGACATGATGTCCAGTGCGGCGAACAGGATGTCAGCACGGGAAGACATCTCAACCACCGAAACTATTGATTGATTCTTGTTGTATAAATTTTTTTTTTTCTTTGTTGTAAATGAATAACTTTTGTTGTAAGGCGAGCTGTAGGACTCTTGTTCTCTCACTACTCCTAAGTCCTCACATATACACTAACATTCGCTAAGGGAAGGGAATCGAGGTTTGGTGAGCTAACATAGGGCGGCTAACCAACTATTTGTATTTGTATATTGTATATAATATCTATTAATGTAAATGTATGAACTTTTATATCAATAAACGATGGGGGCCTTAGCCCTTATGGGAAGTAATACGCAAGCAATTCCTCCTTTGGCTCTCGATACCACGCAAAAAAAAAGTATTTCCTATACACACAAAATAAACTGAAAAAGTAGCTATTATAATTACTACTATATTATGATGGCCATAGTTGATTTTCAAATATTGTTTTTGTGGGTAAATGACGTTATATTACGTTAAAACGCCACAACATTGCCGTCAATATAAAACAATTTTTTCAAAAACTTTCATTTTACTGTCGAACAACTATAGAGGTAGGTGGTAATATCTTTAAAATATTATATCGATACTTGCGTAGAGCTATTTTATTCCTATCGTACTTATATTTTAGTTGTATTTACCATAACACATATATATATATATATACTATATAGAACGTTTTATACCCACGAAACTCTCACCTGCAGCAGCGTCTTGATCGTATTAAGTTTTCCGCCTACATCTTGGCTGGCAACCACTAGATATGTTTACGAATATTATATCATGCGGTATGTGCAGTACGCAGTGTTCCTCACTGCAGCAGTGTGCTTATCGGACGGCGTTATCGGCTGCACATCGCGTCACTTGGAAGACAACGGTCAGCGACGATGACGACAGTGGTGCATCTCCGGACATCGGGCGATCCACATGGTCTGGTACTGTGTCGGTGGCGGTGCCGGTAGTGGCAGTTGTGGCGGTGGTGGTGCGCTTCGAAAAGCGCCGCCCCGCGCAGAGGGCGTAAAACAAGTAAGATCGACCGGGGGCGAACTCACGCGCGCGCGCTCGTTTCTTTCTGCCGGTGTCTTACGCTGATATATTCGCTTGGCGTTTGCACGAAGTTTCGTCTGGACAAGTGCGCGCGCGTATACGCGTATGTGTGTGCTTCGTCGGAAATCTGGATGGCACGATGGAGCTGCACGGACGCGAAGACTGCGCACTTTGGAGGGACGGCGAACACACACGACGTACACATACACAGAGACACAGCACACGCAAGACTACTCAGCGGCGGCGGCGGATTTGTGTCCGTAGCCGGAGCACTATAGCGTATAGTACGCGCGATGCCCCGAAACGTCGATAGCCGCGCGCGCCGTTCCTCATCACCGCGGAACGACGGAGACGACGACGACGACCGAGTACTCACGAACGTTGCACGCACGCGCAAGTGGCGAGGCATCCGACGGATTGTCGTTTCGGTGTGCGCGCGAGGGTGGTGGTAGCCCGGTGGCGCGGAACGAGCGAAAGATCACCGCCACGGTTGTTATTGTTGTTGTTATTGTGTGTGTGTGTGTGTGTGTGTGTGTGTGTGTGTATGAAGTGTCGTTGCCGCCGCTGCCCTGTGCGCGCGCGGTCTAAACCGTGAACCAGACCACGGAGATGACCCAGCGCGTCACCCACACCGGTGTGGTGGAAGCGCAACCACGGTGCAGCAGTTGGCCAATACGGTTACACTGAAACACTGCACCACCATGGAGTCGATACGCGCGCGCGTAACCTGCCCGGCGGCAACGACACCGCGGACCGGCCGGCCTACGCGAGTACAATCGTATTATTATTATTTTATTATCATTAAAATCAAATTATTAAGCATTAATTTGAATATATATATATTATATATTTTATCAAAAACCATTTACCTTTTACTTAACGAATATTAAAATATTTTAGAATTAAATTATAATACATTTTCATTTATTTTCATTGTTCAGTATGAAATGAAGTAGGTAGAAAATACTTTAACGATACTTAAATGTAACATTAAAACTCTAAATTAAAAATTACTAATATTAAAAAAATAATTTTCTTCTTGTACAATTAAATAAGTAAAATTTAAACATACAAGCTAAGTATAAGTACTTTTTTTTTTAAATACTTTTTTCTTCTTAAGATAATTTGAAATTAATTTTAAGCACTTTTTGAATAGATGTTTATAATATCTAGATTGTGTTTAAATAAAGTAATAAAATATTTTTAACAAGGTTATACTATGTAATTACTAGGTACACAAATACTAAAGAATCATTCATTAAATACTTATTTTCACCAAGCAAACAAAATTTTACTGACATTTATAAAAAAAAATCCAAACTTTCTCATGTTTATAAATATTTCAAAGAGGTTTAAAATATTTTGTAAACTTAACCATATATAAAAACAATTTTACTGATCTTAATATATAATGAAAATTTATGTTTTTACAGTTATTAACTTTTTAGTTACACCAAAAAAACAAAATTGATTTTTTTAAACGTTGTTTTTTCATAAATAAATTATGTATTCTTCATTATTTGTTTATTTTTCTTAACAATTTTAAAAACTACTAGCATTTTAAATTGTTTTCTCTCGAAAATACAAACTAAATCCAATTTTCTACAAGAAACCATCTCTAACCTAACCTATGTTATAGACCAATTTATTTATTTTTCTTTTGCCTATTTGTTTAACGATCAAACAATTTTCATTGTATTTACAATATGTCAACATCTTACAAAAACCTTAGTTTATCAAGTTATATTCTGAATTAGAATTAGGTTATTACATTTTATTAAATCAATGTTTTCTTTACTCAGTAATAAAATATTATTTTAATTTATATAAAACATGTTATCGTATTATATATTATTATTATATATTTCATATAATATGAACTTGATTTAACTTTTATACATATACCTATATATATATAATATAAATTTGACTTATCCAATTTTAAATTATTTTTATTTAAGTAAGCTTACAGAGTTAAAAGATTATTTTTGTTTTTGTTTATTTGTTATTTACATTGAACTATTCAAGATTTTGAGCAGACCGATGAATATATTATTTATTTTATAGCGAAATATTTTTGTATCTAAAGGACTAAAGACACTTTTACATAAAAAAAAAATGCTTCAATTTTCAACTTCAACATATTTTGTCGTAGGAATATAAGTCTAGTTAGTACGGGGTCATCATTAAAAAATGTACGTCTTCGATTTGTATAAATTTTTCTTTACAAATCGGAAATTGATTCTTGATGTACAGTTGTTGCAGTTTTCCTTCAGTCATATTGATTTCATAAAAGTAATCTTTCACTGAAATATAAGTATTTTAAAATGTTAATAGTGAAATATTAATATATAACTCAATATTATCATTACTTGATATTATCATACTAAGAACACATCTGAGATCACTTCGTGCTCTATCTACATCAAGAATTTTAACTCTAACTGACTCCCCAATATTTCCTTTGCTAATACTTCCTTCAAACATTTTTACAAACCGAAGACGTACCGGCTAATTATATTTCATTACGAGAAGCAGCCCGCTCCTTTTCTAATTTGGGAGGACAGGGATATGATCGGTGTACTTGTACTCAGGGTTGCAAAACGAATAAATGCAAGTGTAGAAAAGCAGACAAACTATCCAATTCCGAGTGTCATGTTTTTAAATCTTGTACAAATAAATAGGTATTAATAAAATTATAATTTATAATAAAAATAAAATGATAATATTTGTTATTTTTTTTTTTTTTTTTTTATTATTCCATCAAAATATTCGTAATACCTATGATGATAGGTATATGAATAAAGTTAATAATCATTGTTTTATAAAAAAAAAAATCAATACTATAAATAGGTAATAATACAATTTAATTTATAATAAAAATAATATTTGTTTGTTAAAAAAAAAAATTCGTGATTCACATTGTCCGTAACATCTATAAGTTATAACTACATAAAATAAGCTATAAATAGGTAAATAAATAACTACTTCAATGAAGTACTATATAAATATAATATAGTTATAAGTTGATAAAATACTTAAGTATGTTAGCTTTAAATAATAATAATAAAAAAAAATGTTTTCTACTTCATAAAAAATTAAAAAACCTTAACTAAATTAACAAAATATTTAATGTAACCTAAAAAAATAATTATACTTAAAATGTTCACCAAATGTTTATTTTAGCATTTATTTCTATATTTTATAAAATATTTTTGCTTTGCAAAAAACCTTAAAAATTTTTTAAAAAAGGTAACTTATAATTTACCTAACAATTAAAAATATCAAAATACTTAATCACTATATTTTTTTATACGTGTTTAAAATTAGATTTGTCAAAATCACAAAATTTGCAAATAATTTTATTAAAAAATACCTAAGTTTGGAGATTAAATCAGTAATACGATAAACTCAACAAATATGCTATACACTAGAGCTGATACCAATACTTTCTCCCGTATTTTCAGAAATATCACTGGAGCTTAATTTATTTTTTCGTTTTTAATATATACATTAACTAAATAATTACACCTAAGAATATAAAAAATTTTAAGATTTTTATTATTTTATTAACCAAAGAAGATTTAAACACATTATTTTTTATTTTTTAAATTAATTTTAAATTATAACACATTTTTCAAAATTACAAATAAAAATAAATTTAATAATAAAACTTTTTTTTTATCAAATAACTATTGAAAAATTGTATAGGTGCTGTTAGAAATTTGTTCTTATATTATGACATACCTAAATACTGAAGATATTATCATATATTAAAATGTATTCAGAAAAAAAAAGGTATGAATAATTTGATAAATTTTACCATTAAAGGTAACTTAAATTACTTACACTAAAATGTAATTAAATTAATTAAAAAGTATAATTTCATTATGGATAAACTTGAAACTCAAATTAAGTTACTCTACAACACTGCTGTAATACTGACGTTTTTCTCGAAAAACGAATTTCAGGTAATTTATACATTTTATTGCTGCAGCATGATGCATTTCGTCACAATTGGTGTTCAATGAAATAACACACAAATACATTATACCTAGTTTATATTAAAACATTATTACTTTGTTATAATAAACATTTATTTTTTTCATTTCAAATTGGCAGCAATAAGTGATCTTAAATCTACGTTATTATTACTACACCATATTATTGCTGCCATCATTTATATTATTATAAATTATAATATAAGAAATAAAAAACACAACACATTACACATACCTAATATGTGATGTCCACGTGGTAGACGATGAAGTCTATTTTTCTTAGTTAAAAAACGGTACTCGTATACACCTTTTTACCATGATAATCACAACCGAGTTTATATATGAACGAACGAGTCCATCAATTATTATGCTTATAATTATCTGCTTATTGAATATTTAAAATTTAGCCGGTATTATATGGTCACATGCAGTTATTGTATGCTATTATACGTATAAAATAACAAAATGAAAAATTACACATTTTCTATATGCATTATATATTACATAACTCAAGCTCAATCAAGAGGTAATTTTTAAATAGAAAAAAATTCACCATAAAATACCTATCTATTGCATAGAGGTCTATTAAATCCCATCTGTCATCACTATTGCATCTTCAGATCCAACCATACCTAACCTTGCTACATGTATTTATTTGATATTTTACAAGTAAAGCTACAGAAGGTGAAATAAATTTTGATTTAGGAGAAAAGGTTGTTTTGTTATTAACTCGGACATTAGAACACAGAGGATATTACATATTTTTCGATGATTTCTTTAGTAGCAAACCACTTATTCAAAAACTATTAGACAACTATATTTTTGCTTATAGCATATTTATAGAAAAACACAGAAAATTTTATTCATCAACAGTTTTAATATGATAAAGGGTGATCTTGTTTTTTGTACAGAGTGGTGAAATAATTGTTACTAAGTGAAAAGACAGGAGTAAAAATCCAGTAAACTTATTAAGTATTATGCATAATGGCTCTGGCCTCTTAGAGAGTAAATGTCTTACATACAAACGCTAAAGGAGTACGTGAGTCTGTACCATGCTCAAAATCAATATCAGACTACAATGCATTCATGGGTGGGTAGATAAGTTTGATCAGTTGTTGGCCGTTTGGCTGTTTATAATATAAGTTGGAAGACGCGCCGTTGGTGGCTAAATTTTTTTATTATCTTTTAGATTTTTGTATTGTCAATAGCTATACTCGCATTTGTTGTAAAAAAGAAAAATATATAATCCAGCTA